TGAGAATAAAATCTAGCCGTCGGATCTGATGCATCGTGCGGCTCAGATTGCATCCTGCGCTCAGATTTTGAGATAGTGCATTTTCGAAGGTTTATGGTGCATTTCAACGTGATGCATTTTCGCACCATTTTGGTGCATCTAATTTTGATGAAATCTTGACCCTTAGATCTTACAATCTAAAGCACCAGATTCATTCTCATTTCTCTCCTAAGATTGCATTCTCACCAGAACCTATATATATATATATATATATATATATATATGAAATTGCGTAAACAAACGTTCATATTTTATTTGTTCAAGAATATTTTATTTTATCAAATACTAAATGAAATCGCGTAAACAAACAAAAGTTATCGATAAGAGAAAGAGAAAAAAATTGTAATCAGATTGGGGGCGGAGGGGTATCATTTTATTTAACATGCAAAAAATTATCATAAATGTATTACAAAGTATTAATGTAATTAATGATTAAATTTTATCTAATTAGACTAAAAACAATTATGTAAACTTGTCAAGTAGCAGTAATCCATCCATAAGATGAACAAAATAAAAATGAGACAAAAAGAAATATTTGTGGCCCTGGCGGACAAGGAACCACACACACGAAACTGAATTTTGTCAAACTGATGTGAAGTGCATGGTGTGTGGGTGGGTGAATTTACCAAAGTGAGAATAGCTAAAGTTTGCTTCAAGACAAAAATATCTGCGTGGATATAATTGACTAAAACATGTACCAAAGTGCTCCCATACTTCTATAGTAAAAGCTATAACGCGCTCTCGAGTAAAGAAGATCGCGAGTTTGATTTGTGTGAAGTGCGGCTCTTTTATTGTAAAGGGACATTGGAAAAATAAGTGGATGAATCCCATCATCCATTGTCTCTCAGAATTGGCCTAACGATCATGCAAAAAAAGTAAACTGGATTTTGATCATCGATTGGTGTCAAAGAATAGATCATAGATTTGATGCTTGCAAGAATCATATGCTTCATATAGTTGTTTGACAGAAGTTGAACTCAAATATTATTGGGCAACTCTTGCCTTGCCATTTGCCAAGTGTGCAATGTCCAAGCGGCCCCTTTTGTAAAGAGAGATTGAAAGTTTGATTTGTGGGAGCACGTCTGAATAGCTTTTTTTTATATATTGTGAGTGATTATGAGTTTAAAAGATGATGTAATCCTTCACAAAGGATCCTATCATGAGAACAAATACTCCCTCTCTTTAAAAAAGAATGTCATAGTTCACTGTTTAAAATGTGTAGGAGCTTTTAATATAATTTTTAAATATGTAAATTTCATTTTTAAATTTAAATTTATATACCGATCTTTAAATAAAATGAATGAAAAGAATTTGATATCTTACTTTGTTTTGTATAATGTTACAATTATTTTTGGTGGGAGGGAGTACTCTATTTATCCCAAAAAAAATCTGCATTTTTTAAGGTGAAGAATAACATTTCCTAGCCTAAGCTCAAAAATATTCGGTCTAATCTAAGCGGATCCATGAGTAGGGCTGGGTACGGTTGGGAAAATCGAAAACCACAAACCGAACCAAAACCAATGAAAACGAGCTAGAATACAATCGAAAAAAATATTCGGGTTAGTATTTTTACAACTTTTTAATGCTTATAAATTTTCATTTTTATAAATCGAAAAAATCGAAAAAAATCGAAATAAAAGCCGCATAAGACCGAACAAAATAACCAACGATTTATATATTTTTTATGTAAAACCGAACCAAATCGAACCGCCAACTTACCTTCCGTTTTATCTTTGGTTTTGAGTGAAAACTGAATCGCCAAAATCGAATCCATCCCTATCCATGACTAAATTCTAACTCTAGTCTGTAGTGTTCCATTGTTCCTTTTTTGTTTGTAAAAGAAGCGCTACTTCCAAGGGAATGAGACAAAATACTACGGGACAAAAGGAAGCCACCTAGCGCCATCTAAGAACGCGGGTTGATTTGGACGCACGGTGCTCTGCTCCCTTTCTTTCCTTATAAATACCTGTGTAACCCTCAAATGAAGTGATCCGAACTTTATTTCTCTAGAGTTCATATTGTAATAGCTCCCAGCACTCTCCACATACTTAATAACAATTGGACTACCGGTGTTTTCACCTATAATCCTCCTGGTCAATCTTTGCTTTTTGCACTTCTTTACTTTCTAAGCTCAGCAAACTATTCTAGACTCGGTCTATTACAGTTTGCCCGGATGGTTAATTTACACCATCATTTTTGGTGCCATCCGTGGGACCGATAAGGTTTCTTTCTTTCCTCTAAAAAGCCTACTCACGAAAACACCACATATTCAGAATGTCTTTTAGCCAACAAAACACCACTACCTCCGTCCCGGTACAGACCACCAATGAAGGAGTGACCATGCCGGTGGTCACTTTCCAGCTAACTCACTCTGTTGTGGTGATGCCATTAGGCTTAAGCCATGTCACGACCCCAATCATCCCCACTCCATTCACGATCTCCATTCCTTCTACTAAGCCTAGGGTCACATGAACGACCCCAATTCATGAACGACTCGGCCAATTTGCAGGCCATTCAAGGATTTGGCTAGGTGATGGCCATGTGTCAACAAGCCGGAGGAATACTGTTCCTCCCGGGCATGTTCCTGTTTTCCCTACCAGGCGTGGGACGATTACCATTGCAGGCTCCCATGCCAACAACTCCATTCTTGACGTCGCTACCACAACCATCACCTTTTCAACCACAGGTGGTAAGCACCATGAATGTTGCTGGGCCATCACGTCATCCCCAAAGCACCCCGAAAGGTCATTGTATCTCGATCGAGAGCGATGACGAAGAGTGGGACATTCCCAGGGCTCACAAGAAGAAGAAGGGCAAGACCCAAAAACAAGCAACCTCTCGAGACTCTGCCTTTGACAGGCTAGGGGAGAGGGAGGAATGCCAACGCAAATTTGCCAAGCTGAGGTTGGGACATAGCGAGGCCCATGTCAGCGCATTTGTTCGATTGGGTGAGGGAAGGGAGGCCGAGCTTGCCCATACCCATGACTTACGGTCAAATAGGGCCGCACCCGCTAAATCACGAGTTTCGCACCGTGAGTAGGAAGTTCAAAGCCACCCACATGAGCCGGTGAGTAGCAGGCTTGGAAACATTGCTGACCGGGTCCAGCAGATGGAAGCGAAGCTAGAGATGCTAGAAAAAATGGTAGAAGGAGAAGAAGATGACGAGAAAGAATCCTCGCATGCACATGCATACGAGATAGCGGAATTGTTTTGGCTATCCTCGGAAGACATAACTGCTAATGAAAAAAAGAAGAACCAGGAACTTACTTGAAAGTTAGAAGACTCGCAAGGCTGAGGAAGGACTTGACCGGGTGAAATGCGAGAGCGGATTTGTGAAAAGTGAATTGAAGAAGGAGGGAGAAGCCTTTATATAGGCGAGGCGGAGAAGGATATCACAACGCATGGCAAGCAGAGGAAGCGACGCGTCAGCTGGCGCACGCGTGGCGCCTGGGAAGACAAAACGACAGGTGAAACGCAATGATGGCGTACGGAAAGAGCAGGACACGTGCTGAAATTCAAATTTTCAATTTCAAAATTTGAAAATTTGAGCGGGAAGAGCTTAAAATTCAAAATTTTAGGCGAGAAAAGCTTAAAAATTCAAATTTCGAGCGCTAGATGCCAAATTTTCACTTCCCGTCCTTGATAAATTTACAAGGCCGAGAAGTGGATGGCTTATTGATGGGCTTATTCCACAGAAACAGACCGGTCATGTTGCAAAAATGTCGGAATGGAAGATTTAAACTAAAAAAAGACCACCGGTCGTGTTCGAAAAAGTTGACCGGTATTAAATATAGACCTACCGGTCGGAATACGTAACTTCAAGCTTGTGGTCTTCTACCCCTAGCTTCAGAACACAGACAAGAGGTAAACCTACCGGGTAGGTTACTACGGTGTAAAAGTGTTGGCACGAATAACTCCAAGGTCATTTGGACTTTCAACGAAAGATTGAGGAAATTTTCCCTCAATCTTTGTTGGGCGCTACGCGCCAAAGGAGGAGTCATCAGCACAAGATGACAAGGAAATGAGACAAAATGCTACGGGACAAAATGAAGCCACCTCGCTCCATGTGAGAACGTGGGTTGATGTTGACGCGCGGCGCTCTGTCCCCTCCCTTTCGTTATAAATACATGTGTAACCCTCAAATGAAGTGATCCGAACTTTATCTCTCTAGAGTTCATATTGTAATAGCTCCCAGCACTCTCCACATACTTAATAACAATTGGACTACAGGTGTTTCCACCTACAGTCCTTCCGATCAATCTTTTCTTTCTGCACTTCTTTATTTTCTAAGCTCAGCAAACTATTCTAGACCCGATCTATTACAATTTATTCTGATGAGTAATTTACACCATCAGTAATAGTAACACATGTGAATTATTTTGAAATGTAGGGAGTATTAGCTAGTGGAGTGCTACTATCATAGACTTTAGGTCCATATAAAATACAAAGTAAATTTTACCATGTAAGTCATCCCTTAGGTCCATATCAAAAACCATATGCATGATCGAAGAACGAAAAAGTTATACTGAATTTTTGTCAATGTTTTTTCTAGAGAACGAGAGCTTGAATTGTGATAGGGAAACATAGAATGGCTTACAAGGATAAAAAAGAAATCATTTGTCCTCATTACAATCGCTGACACTCTTTTTAAAAAAAACTCATCAAATTTACTCTAAAATTGTTTCTGATCTGGTCTGAATTGATTATAATGAAAAAAATATTTCGTAATAAATAATAAAAATAAGTTGAATAGAAATGACTTTAATGTCTCTAAAATTAAAGTTGAGGTTGTAACCCTTTTGCAGTTTGTCTAAGCTATGTTTATGTGTGTAGGAAATAGATAAAATTAGGAGGACAAAAGGGGTACGAAACCAAGGATGTGTTTGACCCCTTTCCATTGAGTCTCCGGCAACCTCTGTCCACTGTATAAATTAAAGCAGCCCGAAACCAAAAAGCTCTGTTTCTTCTCTAAAGAGACTGCCTCTCCTTCTTTAAATTGACGCAGCAACCCTTTCAGGGTACGTACGCTTGGCTCTTCCGGCCATGGAAGCTTTCAGCTTACTCAAGAACTGGCGCGGCGCCGCCTACGGAGACGGCGGCGGCCTTCCTTCTTCGTCAACTACGGCCTCCTCCAGCGCCGTTGTAACCGCCGTCAGTCCTCACTTCACCGCCACAGAATCGGACTCCGACTCCGACACGGATGACGACGGCCCCTTCTTTGACTTGGAATTCGCCGCCGGCGAGGACGACGGCGGAGACGAGAAGCCACATGAAAATGAGGATATATTCGTCGATGCTCAGCTTTCCGAAACGGACGGCGGAAGCGGCTCCGGTGAGGACGAAGAAGGCGAGAAGTCCTCCGCCTCGCCGCCTGACGGTACCCTAACGGCGTCGGAAGCGGACCCGAAAAATCCGGCTTCCCAGTCGAAATCGACCACTAAATTCAGAGTCCTGATGCTGAAATTGAAGAAGACGAAACAAAACCTAGAGAAATTGGATCCGAAATCGAAGCAGAAAGCACAAAATCAAGGCGAGAAGAAGTTCTTCACGGTGAAACTCAGGGTTGAAGAGCCGAAGATCAAGTCACTGTTCAGGCGAGACACCAGTTCAAGCGCGTCGGAGGAATCGAAATCGTCCAAGGAAATGATTCAAAAATACCTGAAGTCGGTGAGGAGCTTCTCCGGTGGCCGAACAGCGGCAGCCGCCGGGGCAAGTCCTCCGCCGGAAAAAGAGGAAACGGGACGCTCCGACAAGAAGGCAGTGGGGAGAAACGCGAGGAGCCAGAAGCGGGGTGTGCCGAGGACCCTGGGAAAAAGCCGGTCGGCGTCCTCAGCTCCGCCGGCGACTTCTCAGCGGCGCGACGACTCTCTGAAAGAGCAGCATGATGGTATTCAAGGAGCCATTTTACACTGCAAGAGATCCTTTAACTCTCACACAGGTACCCATTCAAAAAAATGATACTCCAGAATTAAATTACTCCCTAGTTTATTTTGGAGTTAAATTTTTTGAAATTCAAAATTAACTAAATTTGGGTTCCAATTGAAAATGGGGTTATTTAAACAATCATGTTAGAGGTACACAAAAAAATATACTCAAGTTGTACCTCAAAGATATACATTTTAATGGTTCAGACACAAAATGTTAGTTTATTTAAAAAAATTTGTATTGACATTTTTTGTCAATTTAAATCATTACACTAGCAGAAAATGTCGGTGCAATGCCTTTAGAATACAGAATGAGGCACAAATTTTGGTGTACAAATATCTTATGGAAATTACGAGTATTTGTTTGAAAAATGCTTTGGGTACATGAAAAGTATATCTCAAGTGTACATCACCGTTCCTTATACCACACTTTTTAGTGTAAATAAAAAGAGAGAAAAAATGAATGAAAATTGTGGTTACAAGACTAGTGGTGTAGTGGTGTACACTTGGAATACACTCTTAAGACTAGTGGTGTACACTTGGAATACACTCTGGACCCCTAACATTTTCCTATGAACATTTTGAACAAAGCCTTGTAAAAGCTTCAATTAGATGAGTATCCTATTATTATGACATTGGCAATGAGTGTCAATATAACCTTGCCCCATATCATTAGGGTCATCAAGATAAAGCTGCAGAAATCAGTTATCAATGGAGTTTGGGTTGTAGAGATGATTTGCTTGGTGTATTTCACTATCTACCAGATGTATTTAGAGTATATACGTAGAGTATATAAGTATAGTGTAATTGTGTTTCTCTCATTCTCCATTTCTCCCTAGCTCCCTCTGAAAATCTATTTTACAAAATTTGAATATATGATTTGTATAAATAAAGTTCTTAATGTTCAATGTATAACATTGGCAATTGCAAAAAGTTAAATATTTCCTTTGTCCCATAAAAAAATCATAATTTGTTTTTTATGGTCAAATTGTGTAACATTTTAACACACATTAAATGTATTTTTAAATAATTAAATATTATAAAACTTGATACATCAAAACTATATTTTAAAGTGAATTCAATTTTACTAAATTTAAATTATAACTGAACATTTTTTATAGTTTTTGATCAAAGTATAATAAAATTTAACCAAAAGAGTCAAACTATAAAATTGCGATGATCTTGTTGAAATAGATGGAGTATAAAATTATTTCTGGGTGCGGAAAGCAGTGTTATGAAAATCAGACCGGATCGATCGAGCTAACCGGTTGGACCGCGACCTGTATACACCAATACGATCCGATTTAATCTTAAAACTCATTTTCGATTTTAGACCAAAATCATCCTTCCCGGTTCCGAGGCCACCTACACTTAGGCCCCGTTCCGTTCAACTTATTTTTTCTTATTCTTATTAAAATCAGATCAGATCAGACCAGATCAGATCAGATCAGATCAGAACTTATTAAAATCAGATCCCATCAAGAATTATTATTATTATTATTATTATTATTATTATATTATTATTATTATTATTATTATTATTATTATTATTATTATTATCATCATCATCATCATCATTATTGTTATTGTTATTATTGTGCTTAAAAATTAAAAAGAATAAACTTTAGAAACAGGTTAAATAGAAAACTGAGAAAGTAATCCTTAATTATTAGATGTCGGAAAAATTAGTTTTAAAGTACATTGACAATTTCAATATAATTCTTCTTTTAAAATATATTTTTATTGCTACTTCTAATTTGAGTTTCTAAAGTTTTGATCTTGTATAAGGATGAGATATTTTAATAAAAATACTATCTCTTCTATATATTGATTATCTAAATTTATTTACTTTTTAATGTATATATAAATTAAATATTTATTCTAATGTATATATAAAGTAATTATTAAAATATTAAATTAATATTCTAATTTCACAAAAAAATATTAATAAAATAAAAAATATTATTACATTATAATATGAATGATTATTCTAATATATGAATTAACTAATTTTATTTTATTAAAAATAATCATTAAATAAAAAATATTGATTATATTATAATATGAATTATCATTACAATTTTCAACGTTATTATAAAGTCAAATCAAATTATTGATTTGAATTTTAAATCAAATCATAATTAATCAAATCAGATCAGACCAGATCAGATCAGATCAGATCCAATCAGATCAAATCAAACCAGACCAGATCTAATCAGATCAGATCAGATTAGATTTAATCAGATCCAATCAGATCAGATCAGATCAGATCAGAACTTATTAAAATCAGATCAGATCAGAAAAAATAAGTTGAACGGAACGGAGCCTTAGTGGAGGAGAGTCCAGTACCACTTTTGTTTAACATACCATGCAAGGTTGTATATATCAGCTTAAGTTATTTAGAGAATAATTTTAAAATGCTTCAAATTAATAAAACCGAACTATGTTTATATAATATATTTATTTTATTAACTTTTATATTAGTTCAAAGCTAAAAACAATTAGTATTATTTATTTTGTATCTTAAGAAAAGTATAAATAATAATTACTTAAATTATTTTTTCATCTTAATCATATTAAACCCCAGATGGAGAAGTAAAGAACATAAATTATAATACCTTTATTAATTAAAAATATCTAATAATATAATATAAAAAATTAGTATTTTAATTTTATTTGATTGGATCATTGACTCTCGAGTTGACCGGTTCGACCGGATAGCCCTTAACCCACAGGCCACAGTTATGTCCGGATCGAAGTCCAATCTGGTTTTTAAAACATTGAAATAGGGAAGAGTAAATTTCCAAAATGGTACTCAATAAATATGTCTTTTCCCAAATTAAAACGACGCTAAACTTTTTACTATTGTTAAAAGAAAAAATGTATTTTCATATATATAATTATTCTGTATATGGTAGTTTCCCAATTTATGTTGGTTTCCTCCTTCTGTATTTCTTTCCTTTTTGTAATTAGTTTCCGTATAGAGTTCCTAGTTTGCGAAGTCCTATATATACAACCTTTGTTCATATTATGAAGACGAGAAATTCTCCTAACATTATTCTTTCATGGTACTAGAGCCGGGTTTCTAAAAATTATACAGTTGATTGGCCGATCGGCACAGAGCCATCCGCCGTGGCTGTTTAGCCCACCTCAATGTTGGCACTTTCGATCCTTTAATTTCCTAGGGAGGGAGAGTCCATTTACAAGTGGACAACTGGTTAGATTCAAAATGGCCCAGTTGTCCACTTGAGGGAGAGTGTTAAGGAGTATCTCACATCAGAAAAGTGTGAAGAAAATAATGGGTATATATGCTCTTAAGTTGAACTAAATAATCAATCAGATTAAATCTTTTAATGTGGTTCAGCCCAAGTGTATTATAGCCTAGTCTTGTTATCCGCAACCCTATTATTCCCGCTGGTGTTACCGCATGGTCGAATGGAATATCGTCCACCGACCGTCGCTGCCATCTTATGGACTCCAATCTGCCGCCGCTGCTGCTGCTGACTCAACGATGTTGTGCCACCGTCAAGCATGTTCGAGGAGTCGAGCAAGATGATTACCTCAGGAAAGAAACTCGAAGAACGTGAGGATGATGATGTTGTGATGTGATGTCGTTGTATCTCACCATACGATGTGTCTCCAAGTGATAATCCTGGTATGCTTTTAATCCAGGTTATCTTAAAGGGAGTAACTATGATCAGTGATCCAAATATTTGCGCCTTGCTCTTCGAGCATGCAAGAATTTTGGATTTGTTGATGGATCGATAGGAATCCTAGATCTCGATTCTTATTATTTAGATGATTGGTGGATAAATCATTCTCCTTAGGTCTCATGGATTTGAAACACTATTGACCCAACCTTGAGATCAAGCATATCGTTCGTGGAAAAGGCCTTTGACCTATGGAATGATCTGAAGGCTTGTTTCCCTATTGTTAATGGACCTAAGGTTCAACAATTGAAAGTTGAAACGTGATTTGGTAGAGTGCAAATAGAAGAATCTTTCCCTAATGAAATGTTATGGCAAGATGAAGAAGTTGTGGGATGACTTATCGGATCTTGAGCGTCTTCTAGTGTGTATGCGAAAAGTGCACATGTGATTTCCTAGCGATGCTTGAAAAGATGTGTGAGACAGAGCGTTATCATCAATTCTTGATGGGATTGAATGATTCAGGATATGGGACCGTGTGGTCGAATCTATTGGCACAGGATCCTATACTGCCTGTTGGACGACTTTACAATATTCTGATACCGGATGAGACCGCTCGGAATTTCCTGTGGTTACTTCGTACGCAATGCGATTAACCAGAGTTAGGGACATCTCTAAAACATGTTGGATTATTGTCTCGAAAACCGGTGTTTAGTCACGGACAAGTGTATGTTGCAGTTTCAAGAGTAACTAATCGTAGTGGATTGAAGATTTTGATATGCAACGAATACAATTTTCCCACAAATTGTACGAATAATGTAGTATACAAAGAAGTCTTTCGAAATTTGTAAAGCAGCAATCTTGTGTACCGTTAAATAATATAATCTCTATATTCTATTATATCTCATTTTTAGTATTAAAAATGATCGAGAGGTAATAATGTAAAAATGACTCGTGCAACGCACGGGTGTGATACTAGTATGTGATTTAGCGCCTGTTTGGGAATAACGTTAGAGATTAGCGTTAGCGTTTTGGTTAAAATTTTAAAGGTGCAAATTACTTTAAAAATGCTAACGCTAAACACTGTCCGTAGATAGCTTTTTCAAAAAACTAACGCTATTCCCAAACATGCCCTTAAATTGGAACAGAGGGCTACTGGTCAACGCCATCGTTGAGCGCGTGGTCTTTTTAATTTTTATTGTCTACCCGCATATACGAAGTATGAATAATGTGGCCCATATAAGATGACAATGAAATGAAACAATAGAAGGACAAGTTGCCGTTCATGTTTTTCACAAAAATCATTCTATGTAACAAAAAAGTATCTCATCTTCAACTTGTAACGAGAAGACGGTGGATGAATAGTAACTAAGAAGAATGTTTTAAGACGGTGGATGATTTTTTTATAGGAGGTACCTCATCTTTGCACCTTGTAACAAAAAAGTATCTCATCTTCAACTTGTAACGAAAAAGTACCATATCTTTAAAAAATGTATAAAAAAGGTATCCCTTGGTGGAATTTCAAGAGTCCGGCCGGCGAGGCTACACCTGGCGTCCTACTTAGCTTTCTGGTATCCATGTCATATTCCATATGGCTTTCAAATTGGCTCGTAATTTATCTAATACAGAGGATATTTTATGGAGAATATTTTAATTTTATTTTTAAATCGTGCTTTCAATAATATAAGATTTTACTTTTAATTTTAGTATTTGAAAAAAATTATAATTCATAAGATACTTCATATTTTAAACATAAGTAGCAATAAAATTTTAATAATTGTCTATAATATATTTTTAAAGATTTATTAGAAATTTTCTAAAATTTAAATTCTAAAAATACTTATTATTATTATTATTATTACTACAGTACTACTACTACGATCATCATCATTATCGAGTATTATTGATACGTGTAATAAGTTTTTATAAGTTATCTAAGTATATTTTAGAAGAGACGTTTATGCAACATCGTGTTTATTTATCTATTAAAATTCTAACTGCAAAAGATTATAAATATTTAAAATTCAAATAAATTAGAAACATTGCCTTTTAAATTACAATAAAGAGAAATATTCAAAAAGTAATTGCTAGTTTGGTATAAAATATTTTGTAAATATTAAAATATGATATTGTTGTATAAAGAAAATATAATTTAAAAAATTAGAACATCACGTGCAAATTTAATACTCCCTCCGTCCTAATTCTTTCTTCCCAGTTTGACTTTTCCCCATTTTTAATTTTTGGCTTTGACTTTAAATTTTACCCTCCTTAAAAAAGATTTTTTGAAAATTTTTTTTGCAATCATTTAAAATATATAGTTAGAAGATAATTGGTGTAAATACATGAGGGTATTAATGTCATTTGTCATTTTTTTTTCTAATGGGAAGGTAGTTTTAGGACGGAGAAAAAGGAAAAGTGGGAAAAAAGTTTTAAGACAGAGGGAGTAACGTATATGAGAAGTCACAAATTAATTTGGAAGTCATATGAAATGTAATATGTACACCCGAAGAAGCTGAATAAATTTTTTAAAGAAAAAACCAAAAATTACATGCTGAGCCAGTAAGACATCGTTTTATGTTCATAATCTGTCTTCCGGTAATTGCAACATTTGGGCAAATGTCTAAATGTTGTACATAATGTGGAATTATGGATAAGAAAAGCAAGGAGAACAAATTTAAAATAAAACCATGGCTACTCCATGAGCCACCCTCTTCCAAATTCTGTTTTCACCCTTTCCAAATTCCATTGTCCCTCTCTCTCTCTCTCTCTCCAGATGGCCTTTTTCGCTATCTCTCTCTGAAACCGTGAATCTCTCTGCACACACTCCGCTTAGGTCACTCTCTTTTGTTCGATTCCGATCGCCTACGACCGCGGCAGATTCCTCTCTTCTCTATGATCTTCTTCTCTTCTATTAGCTGGACCGCATTTTCATGTGCCTGTAATTGATTTGTAAACATTAAATGAAGAGAATTGCAGAGCACGAGCGCGAGTGGGCGCCGGACTCGGTCCCCGTAATCGGAGAACGCTTGCCGGAGAGTTCCGCCGGGGAGGAGGAATACGTTGAGGTCACGCTCGACCTTCAGGATGACGATACCGTGATTTTGAGGAGCGTCGAATCGGCAACTGCGATTCGCATTGATGAAATCATCGGAGGCTGCGGCGGCGGATGGATGACGGCCGAAATTCCGGCCTCGCCTGCGGCGTCGCGATCGGATACCATGCGGCGGAGCTCTTCGAACAGGATTCGCCAGTTCTCGCAGGAGCTGAAAGCAGAGGCGGTCGCCAAGGCCAGACAGTTCTCCCAGGAGCTGAAGAAGCTCTCGTGGAGCAGCCAAGGAGCTGCTGCTGCGGCGGCGGCGGCTTCGCGTGCTTTCTCATCGGCGGCGCCCGGCGGATTGGACTCGGCTCTAGCGGCGCGGCAATTGCGCCGGCAGCGGGCTCAGCTCGACCGCACACAGTCCGGCGCGCAAAAGGCGCTTCGCGGGCTCAGATTCATCAGCCACAACAAGGCCAATGCGTGGAACGAAGTTGAGAACAGCTTCTACAAGCTGGCAAAAGACGGTTATCTCCACCGCGCCGATTTCGCACAATGCATTGGTCAGTTACGCTTACTCAACAATTTAGCAGCGGATCGTTTGTTACTTTGTTAGAGTTGATTAAACTTGTTAATTAGAGAAATAGATTTAATTAAAAAAATTCAATAAAGCTGTTTGATTGATGAAGGAATGAAGGAGTCCAAGGAATTCGCACTGGAAATGTTTGATGCTTTGAGCAGAAGAAGAAGATTAAAGGTGGATAAGATTTGTAAAGATGAGCTTTACGAGTATTGGTCCCAAATCACCGATCAAAGCTTCGACTCTCGCCTCCAAATCTTTTTCGACATGTAAGTTAATTACATGCTACTGTTTACAATTTACAGGATATTATACTTAATACTGAGTATTATTGTTTCCTTGAATAAATAACAAATATTATTAATATTTTAGCATACTATTAATAACTTTATTATTATTACTCTCCATTTCAAAAAATGTTTTCAAATTTTGGTTTTTTGGACAACTTTTTATGCATTTTGACCATTAGTGCATAAAATGAACTCGATTATATTAAATTAACATTAAAATTAAATATAATATTTGGTATTTTTTCACAATTTGTTGTCAAATGATGACCGAAAAAGTGTAGAAAGAGTTTTTTGGATGAAGAGAGTATTATTTATTAGAAAAAGATACTTTTGGAATAGTTGACATTGATGTTAAAAGTGAAAAATAATTGTAAATCACACAAGTATGACTAAGTATAGAGGAAGAAAAAGAATGAAATGAAAGAATGGAATGTATATATTTAACATATGTAATATTTATATATTTAAAAATTCTACTCCGTAGTCTGTACAAAACAAAAGTTTGCATTATTATATTATTTTATTACTTCAACAACAAGAATGGACAAATAAAGACGATAATGGAAGTGTAATTTGTAAATGAAATGTTTTTTTACCATCTCGAATATGGGGTTTAGAGATGGTAAATGCCCTTAGACATGGTAAAATATACTCGTAAATGTCCTTACACTATGTTTGGTTCAAGGAATTTGAAAGAATAGAAAAAGAATTATATTGTTTTCCTTCACTAAAATGGGAAGAATTTGGTTTTCATTTCTCTTAATACATTTTGCATTCTCAATTTTTTTTCTTTCCATTTTTCTTTTCTTTTCCTCTCTAATCAAACAAAAAATATTTTTTTTCTCATTTTCTTTTCCTTTTCGTCTCAAATTCCTTGAACCAAACATAGGGTTAGAGAACTCGCTTGGGATTCCGTGCGGTCCGGCGGGATGGGTAATGTTCTCGTGGCGTGTTGCAATATTTGACTCAAGATATTTTCAAATCATTTTATATGAAAAATGGTATAAAATTAAAAAATAAAAATTACATATCTAAAAAATATATGAAAAGATCTAGAAAACTAATATTGGACGGAGGGAGTACTCACATTCCATTTCATCCATCCATCTGCTTAATTTATTATTCGCGTGTCCCACTTTATTCAATAAATTTAAATAAAAATATTATTTAAAATATTAAATTAAGTAATTAATAATTATAGAGACTTAAATTTAGAAGAGCAAAATTAGAGAAGAAAATTACAACAATGTTTTAATCAAATAAAAATTTTAGTATTTTGAAATAAAATATTAAAAATTAAATATTTTTATTAAATAAAATATTTATTTTTTGAAATTAAATAATATAAATCGAATTCTTTAAATAAATATAATAAATATTAAAATTAATAAGTCCCATTTTTAAATGAATCCAATGAAATGGATGCTTGGCCGTCTCTCTTCATTTAATCAATCACTCACAACCTATTACGGAGTAAATGACAGGATAAAACTATTTCACCAACATTTTGTATTGGTAATCTTAATTTTTGTTAACGCACTAACGCTTTGTGTCAATATAAATTTTTATTAACGCACCAACATCTTGTACCAGTGTGAACCATCAAAATGTTGGTGCATACCTTGGGTGTACAAATGGTTACAAATTTTGGAGTACATGACATCTCCCATTCATTCATCATTTTAAACAGCTTTTAAATATCAGGAGTGATATGTTTTTACCAGCGTTAAAAGCAACCGACTTCAATTCTTGGTTGTGTTAAATTTATTGACCTTTCTTTGTATTTTTGGTGGTGGGTGACAGGGTGGACAAGAATGAAGATGGTCGAATTACTGAAGAAGAAGTGAAAGAGGTAAATATAATCGCGTACCTCTCTGTTTTATGCGTTCCATTATTTTACCTTTATTGCCAAAAGAAATTAAACATGGAATGGCCTTGAATAAGACTTGAAATGAATTATCCAACCCAAATTGTTGAATAACCAATCTATAATCGAACTTAATATGGAACGAATCGAATGGGAACCAAACCAAATTGAGTGAAATCAAACCACTTACACAGTTACACATGAATAGTAGTACTAACTACTAAGTACTCCGTATAAGTTTTGCACTGACCTAATAGTTACCAACACAATTTGAAGAATCGTTTTTCAATTGTGTAAGCGCAATATATTGGGTGGAGTTGTTTTGGCATGATTAGGTGGCTAAATTAGTGGAGAGCCAACAACTCCGCATAATTACCTACTGAATACTGACTGTGATGCAATCCATCTCATTATCAAATCATAGTACTCCCTCCCTCGGCTTCTAAAAAGAGTTTCTATTTTGACTAATGAGTAACATAAAGAATGTATATTCATAGTTAACTTTCTAATTTTGTCTTTAATATGATGTGTAAAAGTAAGATGTGATATGTGTAAATAAAGAATATATATTCATAGTTAACTTTCTAATTCTCTGTATCACATTATTAATTTTGAAAGATACAGAGTTATATAGACACAAAGTTTTTGGCCAATTTAGTATTTTAAAAAAATGCTATTCCCTTTTTTCTGAATTTTTTTCTCATTTGACTTTTCACGTTTTCAATATTAGACTTTGAACATTAATATTTATATTTATACATAAATATATTTTATAAAAAAATTGATGCTTTAGAATGATGTTTCAAATTAATGTATTGATATTTTATTCATATCATAACACATTGTATTTTTCCCGATTATCAGGATCAAAATTTACAAAGTTTGACCAAGATAAACCAAATGAATACAAAATTAGATTGTGGGAGTAATAATTCATAGAAGATCATATTAGTATTGGTATAATGAAGTAAGAGAAATGCAAAGTCACAAACACAAATGTCACAAAATACACAATTTTATTATTTATGCATCTCACCAAAAAATAAAATGATTTTATATATCTACGCAATAAAAAATAGAAATTTAAATATCTTTATGTATTTTGTTCTCGTTGTTTTGTGACTTTAATTTTCGTATGAATCTGACAACGGTTCCTAAAAAGTGCCAAATGTAATACTCGGTCTTAGCAAAAAAATAAATAAATTAAAGTTGTCATTTTCGGTAGAATTGGTGAGGCATATATCTATCTCTGTCACCTCTTTGTGTCATGTTCATGTATTTTTTATGATACAGAGAATTAAATATACGGAGTTTTACTATTTAAAAAATCCATAATTGAAATAAAAAGAGCACAGGACAATAATAAGGCTACTTTGGCAATAGCTTTGGCGTTCATCGTTAGTCTTTAGAAAAGACTATCCAACTACAATGTTTAACTTTAGCGTTAAATAGTAATCGAAAATATTACTCGGGGTATTTTCAAAAAAGGTATTGAAACAATATCTTTGCTAAATATGCATATATTTTTCGTGGGCTTGGTATTCTATGATGTTGACATAACAAAACTGCGAACCCCCGTGACAATATGTTCTTTGTATTTATCTAAAATGATGATATTAACCAGATCATAATGCACAGATCATAATGCTTAGTGCTTCGGCAAATAAACTATCGAGACTGAAAGAACAAGCAGGGGAGTACACTGCTTTGATCATGGAAGAGCTGGACCCTGAAAGACTTGGCTACATTGAGGTTCGTAGCTATCTAGGAAGAGCCTCTCTCTTTTCCATATGTTTTAGGAGATTATTATCATAGAATAAACCTAGAGGTACACCAAAATAAGTACTCTATCTGTGTACCAGGCTAACACAGACACGTACCCTGTATCATAGCATATACATACCCTCCATTCCAAAATAAGTGTCCTTATTTGACCAGTCAACAGATAATTAGTTCAAATCTTGGAGTAACTTGATAATTATATCCCAAAAGAAAATGTTTCGACTTTGTTTTGGGACTCAGAGAGTAGTAAATTAGGAAAGCAATAGCCAGACATAGATTTTGATTTTTGAAGTCTAGCTTAGGGGCCAATTGGAATAATCAATTTTAGGGATTTCACCAGTCAACCCGGCCAATTTCTTCTGTATTTATGATGTTTCTTTAGATTGGTTGTGGACTTACATCTACTTAAGTACTGTACCTAGTTGCAACAAATTTATGATGTTAGACTTTAGCTCTCAAAATCCATGTGGGGTGCAGACAACCTGTAACACGGTGGATGTTGTTTAAGGATCCAAAGAAAAAACAGGCAAATTTTAGGAAGCTTGAGGAGCTCGATCAGCCCACCTAGAAATTAAAATCATTGAAATGTTATTTTGACATTGTAGTGGGTACTTTACATTTTTTAGATTTTTTACTAAGCCTAGCTCATTCAACAGAGTTAAATAAATGAAATTGTACCATGAAAGTTTATGCAAATGACAATGAATGAGAGTTAATATGAATCACTTACTACCTATGTCCCAAAACCAAAATTATTTATGGTTTAACTTTAGTAATGTTTAAGAAAAATTTTGAAAAAGTGTATGGTTAGATTTTGGTTAGATAAGAGTAAAATATGGAGTTTTTTGCGCCATTTACCCCTAAATTTATCAAAAATTGCACAAATTCACCTCGAATTTTAAAAATTGCACCAATGCCCTTGAGCTTTTAAAAATGAAGCACCAATGGTTCCTCTGTACCAGATTTGGAAGTGCGTTAATCACATAAAGAACTTTGTTGACTGATATCTGGCCTTCAAATTTAGAAATCACCCTAAATTGGACTAAAGCATAGAGAAAAGTAGCAAAATAGGACTTTCATGTTTTTTTTCCTGAAATAGGACTTTGCACTGTGGTAATGTGACTTTGCATTGTGGTAATGTGGCAGTGTACATGTGCACATTACTATACTTTTTTGGTAATGTATATGACCATGTTTGGTAATGTAAGTCCTATTTCGGGAATAAAACATGGAGGTCCAATTTTGGTATATTTTCAATGTTTTAGTCCTACTTTGGTCTTTCTCCCCTTCAAATTTGGTTACCGATGACTAAATCAAGAATAATTATCTAGGATTCAATGAGGTTAAAAATATAGCAAATAATGTTTGAGACATATTACAGAATTCACGTGTGATATATGACTTTAAATTAGATGAATCTATACTTGCACTCGATGAACGTATGATTAACTCATTCCCAAATCTGGCACAGAGAGACCATTGGTGCAACATTTTTAAAAGTTTAGGGGGAATTGGTGCGCAATTCTTCTAGTTCAAGGGGAATCGGTGTAATTTTTGAAAAGTTCAAGAGTAAATGGTGCAAAAAACTCGTGAAATATGGGAGCAACAAGTTCATGACTAAAAATGAAATAAATTGTAAAATGTTTTTGGACGTCCATAAAAAGTGTAAATGGTTTTTTTAGGAAGTGGGAGTATTTCTTTTCCTAAATGAAATGTGAATTTCTTTTTTAGACAGGTACGTTGAAAAAGAAAAGTTAAGTGAGAGGGATGAAGACTTGATGTATTTCCTTTAAAAATGAAACACTGACTTGATGTATGAAAGTTATTAATTCTATTATTAATGTACAAACACTGACTAATTAGAGAGTACAATTAATGTTGCGTTTATGGATGTGTTTTAGTGTTTTACACTTTTTCTCCCTCCCAAAAAAGAAACACTTCTTTTGAATACTACGTATGTCCCACTCATTTTGAAATATGAGAAAGTGATACTTACAAAAATGTTATGGGACATCTTTTGGGATGGACTAAAAAGAAAAAGGACTGCAAATTAAGGGGGGCGTTGGGAGTAAAAATTCACTTTGAGAGCTTATATTTGTTTAAAAAGAAAAACGTGTAGGCAGGGAAGAATAGTTCTACTTGAATAAAAGAAGCTAATTTGTACTAGTTTCAATGTAAACATTCATTTTTTGTTGAAGGGAACGTTCCTTAAATGAGAAGAGAAATGCACGAGTCACAAACAAAGAATACGCAAAAGACACAAATTTACAATATTAAATTCTCGTTAGGAACAAGTAGCACTCAAACAATTTAGAATATTTAAAATTAAAATTCACAAAAGGCAAGTTTGTGAATTTTGCGAACTCTTTGTTTTTTATTCTAGCATTTCTAAAAAAGAATCTCAAATAAGTTAAGAACATAACTAACATAAATTATTTTCAATAATTAAACCTAGGTAAAACGTGAATTTCATTTTGGCACGAAGTAAAGTGCATTACTAATATTTTGGTACATAGGGAATAGATGAGATTGAAAATAATCTTAGCACAACCTCTTGGAATTAAATAAACTAATTGTTACATGTACAAGATATCCTAATTGCATGCATGTTGTAATTGGTTTACATTGTTAAAATGGTGCTGCAGCTATGGCAGCTGGAAACACTACTTCTACAGAAGGACACATACCTAAATTACAGCCAAGCGCTGAGCTACACGAGCCAAGCCCTGAGCCAAAACCTTCAAGCTGGTTTGAGAAAGAAGAACTCAATAACAAGGCTGGGCACGAAACTGGTCTATTTCTTTCAAGAGAACTGGAAGAGAGCATGGGTGGTCACGCTGTGGCTCTTGATATTGATCGGCTTGTTCCTATGGAAATTTTTTCAGTACAAGCAAAAGAGTGCATACATGGTCATGGGCTATTGTGTCCTTACCGCTAAGGGCGCAGCTGAGACTCTGAAGTTCAACATGGCACTCGTCTTACTCCCAGTGTGCAGGAACACCATAACTTGGATGAGGTCCACCAGACTGAACCGTGTGATACCCTTCGACGACAACATCAACTTCCATAAGGTACATATTAACCATGTGGTACCATATCTGAAATTGATATTGGCACTTGTTAACATGTACACCCCAAAATTATCATTTACTGATCTCGCGTGAATATAGCTTAGATAATGGCAAATACCCTCATTGAGCTTGGAAACTGCTTCTGCTTCTGCCTATTTGAAATGTAATTCTGTAGTGTCTCCCAAACACTGGAAAACTGAAGCTTGCAAGGGCATATCTTTTCACTTTGGCAACCAACATCTCAATGTTGGCCCCCAATAAATGTGGCTAATTATTTGCCATGAACTCAATGAAAAAGAGAATGGGGAAAATTAAAGTACCTAACGAGGACTATAACATGATGCATATACCAAAACAGGAACTTCAAGCACTGTGGGTCTTTCACAGCATTCCTATTTAGGGGATAAACACATAGGATGTCTAATTTTTGTATAAGTTTCATGTTTTAGTCTATATTTAGATAGATTTCTTAAAAGGCATTTCAGTACGGGTGAATAGCTAAAGAGATTTCTTAGCTTGGACATTGGAATGACCATAACTCTACTTCAATGAATGATGTCCCTATGGATGTTTGCAGACCATAGCAGCAGGAATTGTCTTTGGTATCATACTTCATGCTGGAAACCATCTTGCGTGTGATTTCCCGAGGCTTATCAACGAACCAGATACACTGTATAAGCAGCTTCTGGCAGATGATTTTGGCCATGATAAACCCAATTATGCAGTCCTCGTTAAAGGAGTTGTAGGGGTGACTGGAATACTGATGGTAATCTTGATGTCTATTGCTTTCATCCTTGCAACAAGATGGTTCAGGAGAGGCCTCATTAAACTCCCCAAACCTTTAGATAGACTAACTGGATTCAATGCATTCTGGTACTCGCACCACCTCTTTGTCATTGTCTACATTCTGCTCATCGTCCATGGCATGTTCCTTTATCTTGTCCACAAATGGTACAAGAAAACGGTATAGTTTCTGTAAAATCATTTATCCTATTCTTTGAGCACTTGGACCTCAAAGCCTGTTTGGAATCCAGAAAATTTTTGAAAACGAAATAGAATTCTAAATGTATTTAGAATCATTTACTAAAAATCTATTTTCATTCATATTTTCTCAGGTATAACCAAACATAGAATTCTTATCCTTGTTTTTTTTCTTCTTTTGCCCAGACCCTACTTTCATGGGATCCAACTGGGTTGTTTTTTTTTTTTCTTTTCGTTAATTCATGTGTATTTTCCAAGTTCCAAACATAGCCTAGGCGAACCAAGCAAAAAAGTTTTTCTTACAGTCTGGTAACTTTTTTGTTTGCAGACATGGATGTATCTTGCAGTTCCTGTGCTCCTATATGCTGGTGAACGATGCCTGAGATTCTTCAGGTCAGGCTTATACACTGTCAGGCTTTTGAAAGTGAGTATGAATTATTTATATACTTCATCAGTTGCATCCATCCTGGATTTCTTTTCTTGTCTGAGAAATGATAAGGGACTCTCAAGTGTGGAATCTTCATTTGTAATTCAGGTGGCAATTTACCCTGGAAATGTGCTTACATTGCAAATGTCTAAACCTTCCCAATTTCACTACAAAAGTGGGCAATACATATTTGTCCAGTGTCCGGATGTTTCTCCATTTGAATGGTAAATGCCATTTAAAGTCATCTATTTTACATTACTGATTTTTCAGACAGAACTATGCATTACAACTCCACGCCTGTCATGATACAAAAATGACTGATTCGTTCTTGGATTTCAACGCTATTGCTAATTATCTGCTTAAAAAAACAAATTATTCAGGCATCCATTTTCCATTACCTCAGCTCCCGGGGATGACTATCTAAGTGTTCACATCAGACAGTTGGGAGACTGGACACAAGAACTTAAGCGCGTATTCTCTGAAGCTTGTGAGTGTCCGCAGGTTGGAAAGAGTGGTCTTCTGAGAGCTGATGAAACAACTAAGAAAAGGTTCGACGCTAATTTGAGTATCTTTGCAAATGGTAGTGTCACTGATTACTTAACTGACACTTAGTAAAATCTCAGTTTACCGAAGCTGTTAATAGATGGACCGTATGGAGCTCCAGCACAAGACTACCAAAAATATGATGTTCTATTGCTGGTTGGCCTTGGCATTGGAGCAACACCCTTCATAAGTATCCTGAAAGACTTACTCAACAACATAATCAAATGGGAGGAGGAAACAGTGAGTCATTTGTGTGGGATAATGAACATAATGCAGATGCCACTAGCCCGCTAATTACTATATGTTACTGTCATGTGCACTACAGGATTCAGCCTCAGATTTAAGCAGGAACTCAGATCTAATTGTTGTATCAAGTGAACAGCAGTCCTCCAACAAGATTTGTTCAAGACAGAAGAAGACTCTGAGGACTACCAATGCATATTTCTATTGGGTAACAAGGGAACAAGGCTCTTTTGATTGGTTCAAAGGTGTTATGAATGAAGTCGCGGATCTTGATCAAAGGGTAATCTGACGCACCAAATTATTTAGATCCATATGATTCTCCGATGCATTCATTTTCTTAGAATTATTTCTTAATCTTAATGAAATTAAGGGGGTCATTGAGATGCACAACTACTTGACAAGTGTATACGAAGAAGGAGATGTGCGTTCAGCCCTCATTACCATGGTTCAGGCTCTTAACCATGCCAAAAACGGTGTTGATATTGTATCTGGAACTAGAGTAAGCACTGTTCACAAGCAAATTTTATTCCATTCTTTTATAGTACAATAACCGAGAGGGTGTGTTTATGCAAATCTTACCCCTACTCGAAAGTAGAGAGGCTGTTTCCAAGGGATCCCTATTTTTATAGTATAAAATATAAATTGTCCCTAACCAAAAGCCTGCAACGCTTATTACAGGTACGAACTCACTTCGCAAGGCCAAATTGGAAGAAAGTCTTTTCCAAGACATGCACCAAGCATGCTAATGCCAGAATAGGTAGCCTATCATTTTCAACCAATAAACTGATGATAATTATCAATGAGACAGTCTATTGTTTACAGCACATTGCCAACAGAGCTAAAATAATCATTATTGACAATGTTTTAGATTTTGGTAAATAATAGACTAAATAAAAAAGACACATTAAACTTCATCCACTTCTTATTTTTGATGATGTTTGGGCTGTTATATAGTTATGCGTCAATATAATGGTCGTTGCCAATAAAGTTAAAAGAGAAATTATTGACAATGTTTGCCTTTTGGTATATAGTGGGCTAAATCAAACTAACACGTTAAACTTAATTTGTTTCTAACTTTCAATGATGTTTGGGTAGTAAATGAGTGTTATGCATCAAGGGTCCAACGTAAACAACCTCTCTGGTTTTTATGGGGTTATGCTTCCCTAGACCCCTACGGAGTTGAGATTATATATGCTTCATTTTGTTTTTGAGACACTCTATTGTTTGGAGCAGGAGTCTTTTACTGCGGTGCGCCCGTATTGGCCAAAGAACTCAGCCAACTTTGCAAAGAGTACAACCAAAGGGGACCAACAAGGTTCGAATTCCACAAAGAACACTTTTAGGAGGCCATCACAACAACCCAATTCTTGTAAGTTGTAATCAAGTGTGCAGCCTTGGTTTATCACCCCTTTTTCAACGACAAAATTTTCTACCACAAATACAGTTCTTTAGCAAATAATATGTCCATATGCACCCCCAGGAATTTAAACCGCAGGCGTGGAAAGTACAACTGGACATTGTTTATCGAAAACAGGCTCCAATTGGGAAAAGATGTTTTAGAACACAAATTCCACAGGTAAAGCTAGATGTGAAAGAGAGCTAGCTATTGGGTTGGTGGACCATAGTGAGATCCATACCACCCAGTAGTTGACCTGCTCTGTAATGAAATGGACACACATAATAGGGGCAGGTAGACACTAAGAGTGGACAAATATATACATACATATATGGTATATATATATATAGAGAGAGAGAGAGGAGATAGGTGATAAAGAAAGGTGGATATACTGGGCTACACAGCAGCAGCAGGAGAAGGAAAGCTTTGATGGTAGAGATGACCCAAAAGAGAACCCTTCTAGAAGACCTGCAGTTGGTATGTCCACCTAAAACTTGTCCTTTTCTTCTTTATGAACATAGTTGGCAACCATAGAATGGGATGGAAAGTATATGTAACAGCCACTATAGATGATAAATATCTCTAGCCTTGACTCTACTTTACATGCAGTGACATATCCAGAATTTTTGTTCACGTCTCAAAGTAACAAAGTAACATATAATAGTAACACATGCATTTCAAAAATTAAATTCAAAAACAATACCCCCCCCCCCCNTTACTACTCATAAGATCAAGCTTCATATGCTTCCTTTGCTTATTTTCGTTATTACTCATTTGATAAAATAAAATAGTTTTGTCACATCTTATTATGTAGAATTTTTTATGTAATTGGTCCTTTATAACAAGAGATTTTTCATATTTAATCATCTATTATCAAATATTACGCTTGCGGTCCTACTTTTATGAGTACTTTTCCACGAATAGTCAATTATTTTGTGCTAGTGTGATGGTTCACATATACAAAATGTTAGTGCAAATTTTTTTATCGTACTAGCATATTTTGCCAGTGTGCAGCATCGAAATGCTGAGACATTCCTTTCGTATACACTTTAGGGTATACTCCTTGGTGTACCCATTGTAACCGTAATTGTAACTTTCATAGATGTCATTGTCTCTCCTTGCTTTCCAAAGAGTTTTGGACATTAAATTTAGCAATGCACCAAGCTAAGAGCCTATTGAAAAGAACCTCCCTATTTTTATTTGTTACTCCGTATGTGTTTAAGATTGCGCCCATTTTCATCTTAGAGCAAACAGATGGTTTGGAGTTTATAACTTTCAATAAAATAAAAAAAAGATACAGGGTAAAATTGATTTTATGCCTCTTTACTAATTTGAAGGCGATGTGTATTTTTTTTATTGACATTGATGGTAATTTGAAAAACATGCACAATGATATATTTGGAATTGTAACAATAACTTTATAAAAACCCCAAATTTTACAATAACTTTATAAAAACCCCAAATTTTTGTGCATGAGATGTTTTTTTAAAGTTATGCTAATGGATCAGAGATGTCATCCAAATTAAATAAATAATTTAGACATAAGTACATAACCCACCAAAATATATGTACAAAGAAAATTGTTTGATGAAAACATGAAAATATTGGCGATGCCCAAATTAAAGCATATTCTCTATCCCGCCCCTGCCTATACTATCTCACAAAAATAGGGGAGTGACCCAATGAGTTTTATTCCCGAAAAGGATGAGTCTCATCTGTGAGGCCCTCCCACATTTGGCCGGCCGGACAGTTACTGAGGGTAGGTAAATTAGAATTTAATCGTAGATCGGTGGCAATGAGTGGAGCATGTACTTGGTAGTTGCAGAGGTCATATGCTTAGCATAGTTATCACGCAGTTGTCAGGAGTCAAATTCAGGTCTTACCTTCTTGACACATCTTTTCTTGCCAATTACGTAAGGCCCATCGGCCCCCTCCCCCGAAAGGAATCTATGGTACGGTGCAAACTGCAAAGCAGAGAAGAGCCCAATTAAAACTATACTATACCAGAGAAAAATATCACTTCTTCATACCTCATAACTAAAATTAATGGCTCTCGAAGCAGAGAAGGTATATGGTACAGCCGGCTGTACCTAGAAAATAGGTACATCCGAGTGGTATTCATTTTAAAGTAAAGTAGTACTCATGCTCACACAATTATTTCATACAATTATAATATTCTTCTACAAATAACATAGTGTTCATTCTGAAACAAAGTGGTACTCATTGTCAAATAAAATAGTATTCATTCTCAACTAAAGTACCGTTCATTCATTCCACTTAGCTTAAAATCAATCTCCAACGCTTCTTCTTCTCCCTCACCCAAACGCTGAATTATTTTAGACTAAAAATTTCTATATCAGCCACTTCCTCATGAACCCTTCGATCTGCTATACAATCACTTTCCCCATTATCACATCACCATCACTATCTCCACCATCATCTTCACCATCACCTTCGCAGATCTGCTCCCCGCGGCTCTATACTGCCTTCTTGTTCCGATCAAATGCACCTAGGGTTTGACTCGATCAGCCCCACTTGATCGCTAATTTCCGCCGGCTGTACGGTTCTTCCAGTACAGCCGGCTGCACAATATAATTTGCGCTCGAAGCATATTCTATGGGTTGAGTACACGTCGAAATATCAATACAATTCTCCATTCACATGCATAGTACCAATTTAAAGAGACATGGAATTGAAAGATTCGAAAAGTATAGCACGAAAATGGTGACGTAGGTTATTTAATTTCTTATAATGGGAATTTTTAATTTTTATGAGATTTAAAGGAAGTTTATTTTAGTATTGATTTTCCAAAAAATGTCTTTGGATGTGATGCGTAAAAGTAAGATTTGATAAGTAAATTAATAGTGAACAGATATGATGTGATAAGTAGGTTAAGAATTAGTATGGGTAAAAGTAACTTTTTAATAGCAATGAGAAAAGTTTTTTGAGACAGATGAAAAAAGAAATGAGAAAGGTTTTCAGGGACGGAGGGAGTAGTCTTTAGTTATTAGTTAATACTTCCTCCATCCGATAAAGATATTCCCATTTTGATTTTTTATGAAATTTAAGGGAGAGATATTTTTGTGTTGACTTTTCAAAAATATCCTTGATGTGATGGGTAAAAGTAGGATTTAATAGATGAATTATTAGTAAAAAAGTATGATGTGATAGTTAGGAAAATAATTAATAAGAATAAAAGTGGTTTTTAATAAAAAAAGGGAAAGAGTTTGTGAGACAAGAAAAAAAGAAAGAGGAAGAAATTTTTGGGATATAGGAAGTATTTACTATTGAGATTTTTGCGACATTTACGCCTGAATTTTTTGAAAATTGTACGGATTCACCCCAAACTTTAAAAATTGCATCAGTGCCCCCCTGAACTTTTAAAAACGTTGCACCAACGGTCCCTCTATGCAAGATTTGGGAGCGCGTTAATTACACACTCATCAATATACATTGCAATAGTATTGTTTTGAAAATAATAACACAAGTCTTTTTTTTGTATAACATCAATATTTTAATCTTGTCGAGGTAGATTTCTTTTAAAAAAAATATTCAGACGTATGGAGTAATGTTTACCCATTAAATCACATTAATGATCAGCGGGACCCAATCAATCTCCTTTTGTTTATGTACGAGAACGATTAGATCTCAAATTTGCCACACACGCAATCTACGTAGTAAGAGCCTATCACCCGGGCAATTAACTATAGTCTGAGCTGTACGAATATTTTTGATACTTCACTCTGTGGGGTGCCACTTTGGTGTACTCGTCATGAAGTTGGCTTGGCATATCGTCTACTTTAGTAAACCATTTGTTAACAAATCTAAATCTAGTTTAGACTTATAATTAGGGGTGAGTTTGTTTCTCGACCTAGATGGAAGTGAGAGCGAATTGAAGGATGAATATTGCGAAATGTAAAATAAGGAAAAATGAGAAAACTCATTGAAGACCTTCAAAAATACACTGAGAGAAAACAAAGTGCCTCAAAAGCTCACAACTTAGGTGATTTTGGGAGGAAGACGAGAAAGAAGACAGATGATTTTACAAAATTTAATTAGGATTCCTTCATTATATTAATAAAAAATGCTCATATTGAGTCTAATTAATTTAATTTTATTACTTTAAATATGCTACAATTATACTATTTTAGATGTAATGTCAATCAAAATAACTATACATGTAACACCCCAACCCGCGTAACCCGAACCGACAAGTTAGCGTATCGGATTGTTACTAATTTAGTATTCACATGCACAATATTTTAAAACATTTGGAAATAAAACATTCATATTTATTGAAAACAATATATCGTTTAATCGGAGGAAATAACTGAAACGTTGCGGAAGCCTTTAAAAAAACAACATTCAACATTCTGGTAATTTAAATAAACAAATCCAACAAACTTATTTAATTTAAATAAAACAGCTTCGGTCATCCACCAGCGTCACGTTTCACTGTCCTCCAGGCTGCTCCTCATCAAATCCTGGATCCCTATCTGTAAAAATAGGGAGAATGGAAGTATCTAACGCTAAAACTAACTCATAGACTAGCACCCATTAATGTATAATCAAACAATGTCAGAAGAATCAGCAAATATCATTATCCAACTGTGCCACTATTTACCGTTATAATTCAGTTTAGTTCTTACGCATACTTATTCCATCTGCCTGCTAGATATAACCCAATCCATACTTACGGGAGTAATGGAATCCAGGCTCTCGCCCAAACCCACACTCATAACTCCAAAGCTCTCGCAATGGAGGGGGTTGAGGCCCCCGCTGGCTCTCGCCAGGGTCAATGACCACCGTGCGCACGTTTTTAACCCTCGAGACCACCGGATGAACGACGTCACCCGCGTGACCTTATTCTCTAGTTTAGTCCAACTTGTGATTCCCAATATCTAATTCAACTCAAATCCACCTAATATTATTAAGAGGTCAGTTTCATAATTTCCTACTTAACTTAAAACTAGCCACCAATTCATTAGTTAGCACCTTTGGTTTTATTTGTAGTAATTGCCTACCTTTATGCTCAACTTATAAGAAAGGACTGAATTGCAACTGTTAACAATCCTAGGGGTCAAATTATAATTTATAAAAACTTAATCTTTGAGTTCTCATTGGCTTTCTTCTTCGACGCAACACCTTCTGCGATGCAGGAGTACAGCAGTGGCATTATCTGCGGTGAACTCCGTTTTAGCAGAGAGGAAAGACGAGCAGTGGCTTGACGGCAATCTCCAAGTTCCGGTGAACAGCCGCTTCAAGTTCCAACGACAACACCAGTGACCAAACAGCCCCCCGGCAGTGGGAACCTCTCTGCCAGTGTTCCGAGTTCCGGCGGCCAACAGAGGAGCAGGGCAGGAAACAGAACAGAACAGAGACCGAACGGAAAAAACGAGAGGAGGAACAATCCAATCCCAATTTCCCAAAAACCAATGTTAATTTCGAATCCAAACACAATTAGTCACACAATCCGATAACCATAATCACAAATTCAACGTCAATTGAACGAGAATATATCAACGAATCCTAATCTACAAATCAATTTTAACCAGAGATACATCACTCACCTCGATTGTTCGGCGACGAATCACAAATCAATGGGCGAAGAACTCTGGTTTAGAACTCCGGTGACGAACTCAGGCGAAGCTCCGGCGAACTCCGGCGAACTCCCTGTCTGGTCTGGTTCGGCGGAAGGGTAGAAGAAGGAGAGGACTCGTGATGCAGAATTGAATTGAGATTGGAACATATACTCCGTATTTAAAGAGGATGGACTTGGCCAAATTGGTTTAGGACTAGGAGTAATACGTTAACACAATTAATAATATTACATTATTATATTATAGAAATCCTTTTATTTACTTTTTAAACTCTAGCTTTTATTCTACTCACCACGCTTTACACAAAAGTCTAATTTTAACAAACTATATATCGTTGGTCACCATTTTACGAGATCTACCTAAAAACCTAATTTTTAATTAAAATGGTCAATTTTACAAATAATTCATATTTTAGAGTCAATAAATAGTATATTTATTTTTATTAAATTAACGACTAACTACTAAGCCGGTTTTCAGGGCGTTACAATACATGCATCAAGTTGAAATTGACTCACTTAAACCGTAATACCTGACTATCCCTAGTATGACTTTGTTAGCGTGCTTCTATGTGATATATTCCTTCTATTTTCTTTTTAACTGTCTCTTTCATTTTGTATTCCAAATGTATGACTAATTATATACTCCGTATAATAATATATAATGAATTAATATATAAAAATTATATAAAATTATTGTTATAAAAAAATATTGAGTAAATTCTATGAAAGGTCTCCATTTATAAGTCGTTTTACATATTTAGTCCCTAAATATCTAATATTACTAATTTAGTCCCAATTATTATATTCATTTCCACGAATGGTCCTTTTTTAACATTTCCGTTAAGAACGTGGATAAAATTATAAATTCACACTTCTTTCTCTCCTCAATTAAGCTTCTTCCCTCCCCTCGCACTCCTTTCTCAAACTCGTCGCTGAGTTTGAAACTTTGAACCCAAAACTTAAATAATCACTCTTCTCTCAATTATTTGTCGAACTGGTGGAACTCAAATTCGAAACCAGTTACCTTCATGGATGAGTTTTAATGTTTATTTTCTTTGCAATTTCTTGAGACTGACCGATAAAACTCATCCATAAAGCTTATTGGTTTTGATTTTAGGTTCCACCAAGAAGACTACTAATTGAGAGAGGAGTGATCATTTCAGTTTTGGGTTTAGAGCTTTAAATTTAGCGACGAGTTTGAGAAATTAAAAAGTACGAGAGGAGGGAGGAATCTTAATTGAGGAGAGAGAGAAGTATGAATATACAATTTTATCTATGTTCTTAACAAAAACGTTAACAAAAGATCATTCGTGAAAAGTGATATAATAATTAGGGACTAAATTAGTTATATTTGATATGTAGGGACTAAATATGTAAAACAATCTATAATTGAAGATTTTTTATGAAATTTACTCAAAAATATTTTTAATGTATATAATTTTTTATTAATATATTTTAAAAAATATTATTGATCAAATATTATAATCTGTATTTGGAAAGGAAACGAAACACTTAAAAAGGGAAGGGGTGGACTATGGACTTTATGGAGCATAAGGAACTCTAACAAAATGTTGTGCGGCGCATCTGAATACGGCCCAAGAAATTCATTTAAGAAAGGATAATGCCACGTGGGTGCAAGAATTACGATGTGGCAAAGCGAGAGCCAGGCGTTGACTCTGCCGACGACCGCACCGGAATATGTCTCCCCGGCGAGTGACCTCGATCCACTCTCCTCATTTTCCCGAAAAGTATAAATACCTCTCATCCACACTCCCCCATCCTCGTGCCCTAGCCGTCCGTTATTCCCTTCCCAGCCGCAACCTGCTGAAAAAACCCCCAATTTCTGCTCAAAACCCAATCTTTCCCTTTCATTTTCACTGAATCCAGTGCACTGCAGCTGAATCTTGAGTTTTGTTTTTCTAATTTATCTCGAATTTGTTTATACTCGGAGTATGAACGGGTTTTCTTTTTGAAGTTTAGTTGGAGGTGGGGGCCTCTGGCTGTCGGTGCGGTAATGGGAGCGGCGGATGTGGCTTTTCCCGGCGGAAGGGGTTCGATTTGTCTGTTGATTTGAGCTTATGGGATCGGAGAGTTTCGCGGGTGGTGTTCGGACTAGGGCTTCGGCGGAGGAAGGGGAGGTTCGAAAATTGGGAGCTGTTTCTGCCGGAATTAAGCGGCCCTTTGACAAGTGGACCTCCGCAGTCAGCAGTAAAGGTGGCCTTCCTGATTTTGTTTGTCTGTTTCTGCATTACTATAATACTATAGGCTATCAAATCGGGGTTGTTGTGGTAAAATTGTAAAACGTATAAGCTCTTCTCTCAATTTGTAATAGTTCTCCAGATTTAGCTATCTTCTTCAGTTGTTATGTGTTAATTTATTTCTGAACTTTTTTGTTCAGAGGAAAGTGATTGTGAGGCATGTTCGGATATATTCAGTCAGATTAGTACTTTAGGAAAAGATTAGCGATCTTGGTTTTTTTACGTTTATTTATGGATATTTTTCTTTGTTTGGCTCAGCAAATATGACATCAACTTCATATTACTCGGAACTTGCTCTCTTGCATCATCTTCCTATTTGATTTGGTGATGGAGACAAATGTGGTTTTGTTTGTTCGATTTTCTGAAGCTTATATTCATAATGTACATGTTCATGGCAGATGATTACTCTTCAGTACCTTCATGGAGCAATGTTACAGGAAATGAACTTTATAGGAATGATGATCAACAATCACGCATATGGGGCAAGGGAACTTCAGAAGGTCACACTTCTGGCTGCACAAATACTAATCTTGCAAAGATAGCAAAGGTAGATGCTGAGTTACAGCTTACACCTAGGAAAGTTGGAAGGAACACTGCTGGTAGTTCTAAGGGGTTGAAGATGCTAGAGGTTAATGGTTCTGTACCCAAAACTGGTGAAGTTGGTGCAATAGCTATAGAGCTCTTATCAAATCTTTCAAACGGAAACAATGGAGGTAATGAATTTTATAAGACTGGGTTTCTATATGCTTCAAGATTGGTTTGACAGACTACCGTGTGATGCAGGATGTTTCTTTAACAGTTTTCCAAACATTTATCATCCATATCTGAGTTACCAAAAATTTGGATCTTTATAAGGATTTATAACATTATAAATATAACATATTTCCATGCCAAACTTATTGCTAGTAGCACCCATATGCATGCCATTATAGAGGTATGTACTTAAAAATGAAGTTCGATTGAATGCCACAAGGCTTTTGGTGAATGTTTGGATTAAGTAAAATTTTTCCACGTTGTTCACGTGGTCATACACATGGCACTTGCATTTTGGTTATACTGTTCTCTATGGTATAGTATGACAATTTTTTACTGTGGTTTTTCTTTAAATAGTTATTTAGGTTTGAACTTCATTTAGCATGTAAAATGACATTTTTTTTACTGATGTTTATAAATATTTTGTAAAAGAAGCATTTATTTAGGGTAGGACTAATTTAACATAGATATTATTCTGTTAGTTGAGGTTCAGCAATGGTGTATTGTAAACCTTACCGAGCTCTTAAGCACAAACAGTATTTTATGATTTTCTGCTTCACACTTTTTATTTTTTTATTAGCCAAGGTAATGCTATCACCTGCTGAATGGCTCTTGTTTTTGTCGCCGCCATTGCTCAACACCTTGATCCCCACTATGTTTGATCACTGACATAAAATTTCAATTTTTTTTGAGTGCTATCCATTTGAAATTTTATGGGGGAGTTTGTTGATGGATGTTCTTCTTGCTGCAATCTTCTTACAAAGAAACAAATAGATAAAGATTTTAAACCCGTCATCATCATAGGTGTTTCACATTTGCATGGAAAATTATCATGAGACAACCATATGTTGAAATACGGAGTAGTTTCTATAGTCACGTCGCACTAAATGATTGATATTGTAAATTCCACATATAGTTCATAGAAAATTATTAATGCATTTGCACTATGTTTGGTTCAAGGATTTTGAAAGGAAAAGAAAAGAAAATGATTTTCTCTCATTTTCCTCACCAAAATGGAAGGAATTTGATTTTCCCTCCTTTTAATATATTTTGTCTTCTCATTTCATTTTCCTTCCACTTTTCTTTTCTTTTCCTCTCTATCCAAACAAGAAAAACTGTTTTCCATCCCATTTTCTTTTCTTTTCCATTTCAAATTCCTTGAACCAAACATAGTGTTGGTGTTATCATCATGATTATTCAACTCGCAATTGGCTCTCAAACAAGGGAAGGTTGAATATTTATATAAAGTGATTTTTTTTGGTACCTAATCCATTCCTGTATAGAATTGGAAAAGGCATAATGATCATATATTGGCTGTGCAAGTTTGTCTATGTTTTCCTTTAAATTTATTTGGTGTACTTGGTAATACTCATAGATATATCATATATCTGGAGGAAGGGGTTCTATTCAAAATTGGATTGAGCAAGTACTTTTTGTTGGGTTTTAATGGGAGTGAGACTTTCCACAATTTCATCTTTGGATGAAAGGAAGATGAGTAGAGCCCGGGAAAGTAATTTTTCTTTTTCTCCATCCCATTTTCTTAAACTTTTGTATTGAAGGTAGCATTTTTTCAGCCGCACTATAGATTTAAGTTGATTTATATTGTCATGATTGGGTATTTGTTTACCATTTATGTAGAATTGCGTCTTGCCTATATATACTTTTCTGTAAATAATGATGAATATCTCGCTGTAAAATGTACATTGGCTATGAGACAGAAGCCCCAAAGAATAATACACTTAAGTGGGCATTGAATATCTAGATTAAAAACAAGTGATAATTGAAAATGGAATCTGCTTCTGGATACCCAAATTCTGTGTGATCTATAATTGATGGACTGGAGAAGGTTAATTAAAACTTCGTACTTTATATTACTCTTTATTGCTTTGAATAAAACTTCCACCTATATGTTTCTATTTTGTAGTTCTTCTACATAGTTAATCAAAAATTACCTTGTGTCGTAGAATGGTCAAAACATTAGTGACTGTATCGTATTTATATTTAGAATTTCTTTTGTTTTCATTTTATACCTTATAGAGAAATCTCAAATGCCTAAGCTAAGGAACAACTCAAGTGGCAAGAGAGGGGACAAAAGAAATGGAAAAATTTCCAAGGGCAATTTCTCCCTAAAGAATGGCTTGCTTAGCTTCTCTTCAGCTGCGGGTGGACACAACTTTCTTGGTATGGAAGCATTTGGCATTACCTTACCTCTTTCACCCACTCTCAATACATGATATAAAGATTTAGCTATGCTACGTGTGCAAGAACACATGAGTATTCGTATTATACCTTGCTACATGCCTTGTCTGATCAATGTTGGTTCTAGTGCTTTACAGATTACTATTTAGCATGAGGCATGGCCCTAAGATGTTGATCTCCGGTCATTACCCTAAGTCTCTACGAACAATGGAGGACATTTGGTGGGGGGGAGCCTCCCCCCATTTTAACTGTTTAATGTTTATATTCAATACAGAGTATCAGTTTGTTGTGTGGTATGCTATGATTGAAAATTTTTACCAGAAGTCATTAAACCTTTAAATTCAATTATACTCCTGAATCTCACATTGCCACATATTAGCATATGGGAAAATCAATCAGCCAAAATAACCATGAGCAGCTATGACATTGCAAGTTTTTCCCTCTTAGCTGAATCCTATACATAATCGTAGGTCAATGATCATCATAGTAAGAGAGAAGGGTGCTACTAGTCTTCTGTCTGTGGTTATAAATTCAAGAACAAAAATAGTTCATAATCTCCATATAAAACTTGAGGATGAGTAGGCATAAATTAGGTGATAAACATACCATTCAAATTGATAGAATGTGTATACTGTCTCTATTATGATAACCATGCATATTCTGTTAATAATACATACAAATGCATAATGAAATAGTAAAATCAACTTTTGGGATTTGAATTTAGATGGCTAAATCAGGTAGTTTGCATGCCAGCTGCCACACATGCACACTGCACCGAAGTAGATATTTTGTTTTCTTGAGATTGGTTCTATTATCATATCCTCTTTTGCCATAGTCTTTTTGTTGCAACTGGTTCCATTTTATAGAGCATTCCATTTTGGGACTTAATATACCTTATTAAGTTAGTTTGACTTGACCATTTGTATTTGAAATTTGCTTTTATAGTTTGATGGTTAAATAATGCACTACAGAGTTTCATGTCTTTTCTGCCAAATTTTGCATTTAAAAAGCCAATATGCCTGCTCACAGATGTTTGGAGTTTTAAGGTTTTTACTTTGTGGCATAAGGCATGTAATAGTATTTCTACTTTTCTTGGCTTTATTAGACATTTTTTTTTAAAATTGCAAATAATACTATTGACTGATGT